GTAACGACTATTTAGCAGCTAAAAGATAAAATACTTTACCTGCTTTCTTATCATCAATCAATCTTATCTTATCTACTATTCACCAGAGTGTAGGCAAGAGGAATGACCTCTTCTTTTTTTTAAAATTTTTATTAGTGAAACACCATGAGGTACAGTTGTAGACTTACAAATTTTTGTGCTTGGATTTCAGTAATAAAATGATTGAATATCCCTCCACCAGTGTCCTTTCTCCACCATCACTGATCCCAGTATCTCTCCCCCCCCCCCCCCATTCCACCCTGCCTCTGTGGCAGAGGGAAGGACCTCTTTCTGAGCATACACTTCCAATGGGATTTTTACAGCAGTTTTTCAGACATGAAGTATCTTGATACATAAATAGTTAAGATTAATGTAAAACATTTGAGGAAGTATAAAAAGCAAGACCAAAGACACATCAAGAAGTTATTCAAAATGTAGGCTTTCTAAGTTTTAATTGTTGAAGCATATTTCATGTTTTTTTTTAATCTCTCCCTCCCCCTTCCCCTCATTGTGGTTGTTCTTACTGATGTGTGATAACTAGAGGATGCAGCCTTGCCTGGCTGTGGTGCTCACACATTTAGGTGTGTGTTCTCATTTCAGCTTTGTGGGAGGAGGAGTAGGAGAATAAAGTATTTCTGAGTACACAATTTTTTGTATGCATTTTGAGCGTACAATTGGAAGGGTGTGGGCACTTATATACTGATTATAATCACTATTATGAACCATTTAAGGAGCTTCGTCTCCTTTCTTCTCTATCTCCTTCCCATTCCACCCCTGGCTTTGGCACCCTCCAACCTTGCTTCCTTCCTGTGATCTTCCATGCTATCAATTAGGTCCCTAATCACGTTCCATGGCCCATTTATGTGATTTTCACCTGTGGGATTGGAGTATCTTGGGGGCCCACAAAGGGTCATATGGCCCTTGTTGAGAAACAATCTGGATATACAACTATTTTTTAAATTTTATTTATCAGTTGAATTAATGTTTGATTTTATTTCGAGTTTGGGCTATTGTGAGTAACACAACATATGTACATAAGTCTGTGTGAATGTTTTCACTTCTCACAGGCAGATATTTAGGAGTGGGAATGCTGGGATTTACAGAAAGTGTATTCATATATTTATCCCAGTATGTGTGGGAGTATGAATAGTAAGCTGCTTAAGCACCCACACTAGCACCAAAAGCTGAGGACAAAAATCCTCATTATTTTTATGATTCAAGAGCCTTCACTTTACAATATAGTAAAACCTGGTTTTGAGCCTTTGGAATATCTAGGACCCAGTAGGAAAAAAACACATAACAGGGAGCAAACAACCCAATTCTACCTCAGAGAACTCTCCTATAATGGAATTTCTGTGGATCAGGGATGCATATTAATTTTATTTGAAAATAAGGAAGGAAGGAGGAAGGAAGGAAGGAAGGAAGGAAGGAAGGAAGGAAGGAAGGAAGGAAGGAAGGAAACACCCCAGTGCAAGATGAGTTACATGTGAAAATATCGGCTTTTATAAATATCACCTGAATAATTTATCCCCCCCCCCCCGAATAAAAACAATTTGAGACATCTTAAAGTCACCTTAGAAATCAATGGCCATTCTACTAATAGAAGTAGTCACTTTTGTGCTTTTCTCTTCCTCCCTAGATAACTCCTCCCCTAAGGCTCAGAGGAATCCATACAACCTTAAGAACTCAGACAATGCAGTACAAATCCAATGATAAGAGAATTATCTGCTTTGGTACAGTTTTAACTTCTAAAATAAATTATTGAGAATCAAGAAGGAATACAGAAAGTAACAGGGTGTAATTCCAGTCAGACAAGAGAGGCATGCTGCTGGCCCCCTATTCCACCACAGGCGAGATTAGATAAGGAGCACCTGGGCTATCTGGGGAACAGAGAGATAGAAATGAGCTGGGTCTTGAAAAAATGTTGGACGTTGGGGTATGAGAACACAGACTAGGAAAGACATCAAGGATTTTCTGGGGCAGAGTCAAAGTCTAAGACAGCTTGACACTTGGATGAGCACCGTGTCACCCACATTTGCTAATCGCAACACATGATGAAGGCTTTCAGGCAGTAACAGACACCTGCACAGAATCTTGGAGTTCAATGTTTTTCAACATTTTCCCAACAGTTTTCTTTTCTCAGTTATTTCCCTACTTTCTTCTTACTTTTCTCTGTGATCCCCGAGTCTCGTGACATGATTTTCACCTTTGGCTCCCTTGAAACATTCTGGGGGGCCAAAAGGGGGCCATGCAGTTCTCAGTTGAGAAATACTGTCATAGTTTTTCCATGATGAGATCCAGTCAAAATCTGGTAGTACACCTTCATGTTTCCAAGAATTTGCCTTGCACTTGCAAGACAGTCCAAGGAATGAAGCACCTTTCTGTAGAATTATATAGACTAATTTCCAAAATAAATTATTAATTAGAAATCAAAGTTCATAGCAGTTTCTATACTAGGATACCACTTATGTAAAAGAAAGGCATTAGGACTGAAGAAATATCCCAATTGGCTGAAGCACAAACTTTACATTCAAGAAGCCCAGGTTCAATTCCTGACACTGCATGGCACCCCAAGCACTGCCAGGAATGATCCCTGAATACTGAGAGAATCTGGCAGTAGACCCTGAGCTAGGTGTGATCCTTAAAGAAAAAGGTACGTGTGTGTGTTATGCATAGTTCTTATTTATATAGTTGCAGGTGTGAAGAATATGTCTAAAGGAGGCAAGAAGGTTGTATCTGGAGGGTAAAGGGTCTCTAAGGAGCAGAGTGAATGCGGAATTCCTCATACGCTCTTGATCCTTTTGAACATTTTTATCATGCGTTACATATTCCAAAAATGGAATACAATAATACAAAATATACACAAACGGCAATTTGCTTTCATATAGTTTGCCTACAGAAGGTATCACAGACAGTACAAATGGGGGAAAGGCAGTATTGTTCATAAGGGCAAAGAACTAGAAATAACTGAAAAATTTATCAGCAGGAAATAAATATGTAAAATATGAACTCTCGTCTTGCAGTTGTCATAAGATAGTTAAAAGAAAATAGTTAAAGAGGGGCTGGAGTGATAGCACAGTGGGTAGAGCATTTGCCTTGCACATGGCCGACCTGGGTTCGATTCCCAGCATCCCATATGGTCCCCTGAGCCCCCCAGGAGTAATTCCTGAGTGTAGAGCCAGGAGTAACCCCTGTGCATCGCCGGGTGTGACACCCCCCCCAAAAAAAAACTTTAAAAGAAAATAGTTAAAGAAATGAACTAGGGACTGGAACAATTGATGGGTGGGGTGCTTTTCAGCAGGTGGGGTGCTTTTCTGGAATGCAGCTGATCAGGGTCCAATCCCAGTCCCTCGAACCTCACCAGAGTGACTCCTGTGCACTTCTGGGTGGTGGCACAATCAAACACTCAAGAAGAAATGAACCAGACTGATTTACCTATTATCAACATGTAACAACTCAAAAGTACATTGAGAAGAGGCACATTCTTCGCTGTGGAGAAACACCTGCATCTCAGGCTTCTTAGATGTGTAATCCTTTTCTTTCACGTATGGCAGATTCTCTAACTTGAAGATTCAACCACAACTCAATCTGAGATATATATTCTAGACTGAGATGTATATTTCCTCCTCTGGAGAAGCTCATTTATTTATATATATATATATATATATATATCCTCATATTTCCCTAAATAAAACTATTTTCATTTAAAATGAATTGAATAAAAAGTATGATTCATAATATATGTTTAACATACACATTCATTAAGTAATTTTTTAATAAAGCACACAAAGTAAAGGTATTACAAGTTCTAGAAGAGGTCAAACTCAGTGTAGCTTACTCCTCTGAAGAGCAAAGGGGGTAGGAGGGAGGGTAAAGGAGTCTATAAATTTGTGTTTCTTAAAACAGCTATTAAAGAGCTCTTTAAACAGATGCAAAGGAGACTGGAGTGACAGTGTGGTGAATAGGGCTCTTGCCTTGTATGTGGCTGACCCAGCTTAGATAGTAGACACCACATATGGCCCCCTGTACCTGACCAGGATTGATCCCCAAGCACAGAGACAGGAGTAAGCCCTGAGTGTATTACAAGAACAAAAAGCAAAAATTTTTAAAAGGATAAAAAGTTGGACTGGGAATGTAGCTCAGTGATAGAACACTTACTTGAATTTGGAGGTCCTGGATTCATGTTACCATCAAAAGAAAAGATAAAAATTAAATACAATAAAATGTTCAAATTTTTCATTTTTAGTGATAAGAATATAGGTGTTTGTCATTTTCTTATTTATAGTTTTCTATATGTAAAACTGTTCTAGAAATTAAACTAAACATAAAGTATAGGGCTGAAGAGATGGTTCGGGGTTAAGGTGTTTTCTTGCAGACAGCAGACCCCAGTTTGATTCCTGGAACTGCACACGGTCCACTGGGAGTGACCCCTACCCTCACAATTGGGAGCACCCCTCAAGCAACATGTAATGTGGTCCAAATAACAAAAAGTAAAGTAATTAAGTATAAATAACCAGTCAAGCTCTCCAGATCATTTAAAGTGTATACTGTAAACAAATCAGGACTGACATAAATATTTCTTATTTAAAAAATAAAATTTTGTGAGATATTTTAAAAGTATCAGGAATATCTTATATTTTAAAATATCTGGTTGTGACTTCAGAGTTTCTATGTCAGAAGCAACTGGGTGGAACCAACATCAAAATACTGGGTCTGACTCTGGAGATATCCTGACTCCTTTCCCCATCACTCATTCTCCCCAGTTCTTGTTAGCATGCTCTGTTGAGAAAGAAAGAATTGCTTCAAAGAAGACTCATCTTCTTGTGGTGTGTGTGTGTGTGTGTGTGTGTGTGTGTGTGTGTGTGTATTTGGTTGGTTAGTGGTTATCCCGTGGGTGGGGCCTTTAAACACCACCCTCTTTTAAAACCCAGTCTCCACACCTACCTGATCATTTCTGTTCTAGCACCCTGCTCAGCGCAGAAGCAATTAGCCAAAATGATACCTGGAGGCTTAACTGAAGCCAAACCTGCCACTCCAGAAATCCAGGAGATTGCTAATGAGGTGAGTGGTAACATCCTATAAATTTTTTTTGGTCCAAAATGTTGGTTCTTAGCTTGATCCTATTGCAGAGGGTGTGGGTGAACAAGAAAACAAGAGTGTTGGGAAATAAATGATTTTTGTCTGGACCTCCTAAAACTAAAACTCTTTTCAGATCATCTCTCGAAGTAATCCCAACTATAAGAGCTTTCTGTGCAAATCACATCCCTTCTCTGGGTCTGTTTCTCCAATTGTACAAAAAAGAATTTGTACTCATCTCATCTCTAAAGCTCTGACAATGCATGATTTCAGGATTACTGATTCAGTTTCTGATGAATCTTTATATTCTCACCAAGTGGAGTCAACATATATTTATAGTCTAAGATGGTTAACAATTCTGGGAGATGTATTTCCCTGAACTGAAGGGAATTTTTTTTTCCGGTTTCTTCATTTGTTTGCTTTGGAGCCACACCTGGTGATGGTCAGAACTACTCCTGCTAGTGTGAGGGGGCCATGTGGGATGCCAGGGATGGGAACTGGGTCAGGTTGCAATGCAAGCACCTTACTCACTGTACATCTCTCCGGCTCCAGGAGATAATCCTACAATGAATGAAGAACAATATCATACAAAATTTCTATTAATTCGACTAAAGCAATGTTTTAGTCGCTTAGTGGTAAGAAAATGGTTAGGAGAGTAAAGAAGACTATTGATGCTGCCCATGGTGATTCGAAAATTGATTATGATGAAAACAGAACTCAGTGTTTATAGCAAGTGAATACCTTTTTCTAAATCTTGCTTGACTATCACCTATATAATAAACATTTATTGTATTATGTATTTTATTAGAAGAAAATGTATAAATTACTATTTGGGGTTCATAATATGTTGCCTTATCTTCTTGAATAATTTCTTCTTCCTCTTCCTTCTCTTCTTCTTCTTCTTCTTCTTCTTCTTCTTCTTCTTCTTCTTCTGCTGCTGCTGCTGCTGCTGCTGCTGCTGCTGCTGCTGCTGCTTCTTCTTCTTCTTCTTCTTCTTCTTCTCCTTCTTCGTCTTCTTCCTCTCTCTCTCTCTCTCTCTCTCTCTCTCTCTCTCTCTCTCTCTCTCTCTCCTTCATTCTCTGTTAGGGCACTGGAAAACTCTCCAAGAAATATCACATGCTTAGAATTCCACCACTCATTTGTTGAGCTAAATATTTCCCTTTCAGGAACTCTTTTTAAAAATATATCCTTTGAAACTCTTCTTTCTTGGAGAACATAATATTCTTCTTTTCACCTTGATTTTGGGCCTTGTATCAGAACAGTGTTCTCAAATGTTTGAATGCAAATATGAACCACCTGATCAGCTGTAAAATTCAGACTCTGATCAGATCAGTGCATTTCTAACCTATTTCCAAGATGCCTACACTTCTGTTCACAATTTTCTCTGCCAAGAGCAAGAGACACATAATTTCCAAAGTGACCTCTAAAAAGGGGCATTTTTTAAATCAGAGCAGAACAATAACAGCAACAATAACAAAATTCTATTTCACTTGTAAGATAAAGATAATATGCTTGCTTTGCCAATCACAGACCTATAAGAACTTAATGCATCACTGTGCATTAAAAAATGACTGAGAGCAAGAAAGAAACCCTCATAGGTGAGGCAGCAAATTTTTGTCTGGCAGGAGGGGGTGTTGGGGGAGGCGAGGATGAGGAGAGTGGTGGTAGAGGAGGATAAGAACTCTGAAATGAAGAGGGAATGGAAAATTTTAGTGATTTTTTTAAAAAGTCTAACTTGGTTACCAAGAATAATTGTTTCTTTTTGGGGGGGGAGGGAGAGGGGAGTCACGCCCAGAGACGCACAGGGCTTACTCCTGACTCTGCACTCAGGAATTACTCCTGGCGGTTCTCAGGGGACCATATGGGATGCTGGGATTCAAACCCAGGTTGGCTGAATGCAAGGCAAATGCCTTACATGCTGTGCTATCGTTCCAGCCCCAAGAATAATTGTTTCTTAATAGGAAGTAGTGGGAAGATTTTGTGTCCTTAATAATACCCACCTTTGAGCCACCCTTAAATTACAAAATTAATTGGAAAGTATTTTCTTGCTGCTTATTTGAGGCTCTAGCCCTGTCAGAGAGGCAGAGTGAAAGAGATATGGACTATGCAGCAGCTTCCTCTCCCCAGAAAGTGCTTTTCACTCTTAAAAATCTAACCCCAGGCAGGGCTGAAGAGGGTGTACAGAGATAAGGCACACGCCTAGATGATAAGACACACCTGACCCTAGCCCGGTCAGGCTCAATTCCCCTGAGTCCTGGGCTCTTACATTTGAAGAACCACTTGGTAAAGACTCCCCCTCAACCACCACCACCACCAAAATAAAGTCTGACCTCTCATTTGATCTTCACAACCCCTGGGGCAGGCAGAGAAGGTTGTCCATTTTTCAAATGACAACACTGACATTCAAAGAATAGTGACAGGCAATCATCACATATCTATCTAATGAAGAAGCCAGACTTTCTCCAGATTTTAGCTTCCTGCCTTTTCCGCTACACACACACACACACACACACACACACACACACACACATACAGTATGTAGGAACAAGAAGTATGTAGGGATGAGGGATTAGAACTAGGATTAGAACTTTACCTTTCAGTGCAAATATCCACTCGCAAGTTTAAATCAATCTCAGAAAAAAATATCAATGAAGCATTTCATGGTAGATGTATCTCTTAAGTATCTCTTAGGTGTCCAGCATTGTATTAAGTGCTGTAAAAAATATATACAAGGACTGTAAAACATGGTCTCTGTTCTCACAGAGTTTATAATTTATTTAAGAAGATTGAGATATCTAAAACAATCTCCAATTTAGTACTTTTTCATAATCATAGGTTTGACACCAAGAACATCAGAGATTGTCAAACCTCCTAACTAAAGATGAATAATTACTGTGTGATAGCTCAGAACCTCATGCATTATACTCAGTTGTCATTTGTCTTCCCTTTCATAGGAGACAGCATTAGAGAGAAAGTCCTAAGTAAGTGTTGACAGGTAGAGGAATGAATAACCCGGTTACGGAGCACTTTTGCATTAATATCACCCATTCCCTCTTTAAAAAAAGGGGGGGGAAGTGAAACACTTTTCAGGGAAAGAAAATTTCATCAGGGGATGGAGTGATGCACAGTGGTGAGGGCGTTGGCCTTGTATGCAGCTGACCCAGGTTCCAACTCCAATTCCGGCATCCCAGGTGGTCAGTCCCCTGAGCACAGCCAGGGGTGTCCCCTGAGTGCAAAGCCAGGAAAAAAATCTTAAAGAAAAAAAAAAGATTCATCAGTGTTGTCTGTAAAGGCCAGACAGCGGGGAGGGGCTTGTGATCATATGACGGTTTTCATCTGAGAGGTCTCCGTGATGAAGTCCACTACCTGTCATTTACCTTAGAATTCTATTTGCTTTTCAAAACTGCATTATTTTTTTTAAATCACCTGTTAAAAGGCAGGCAGTTTTGGAGGCACTGAAATTGGTCAACTTTCTCTGTCTTTGGAGCTGGAATGATAGTACAGCGGGTAGGGCATTTGCCTTGTATGCAGTCGACCCAGGTTAAATTCCCAGCATCCCATATGGTCCCCAGGGCACCACCAGGAGTAATTCCTGAGTGCAGAGCCAGGAGTAACCCCTGAGCATTGCTGGTGTGACCCGAAAAAAAAAAAAACTTTCTCTGTCCTTCTCAGAGTTTCTTAGTGGAACAGCCACTGAAGGAAGAACCCAATGGAGGGAGGGACAAAAGAGAAAGATCACCACGTAGATATAGGAAGGACAAGCTCAAGAATGTAACAACAAAAGTGAAAAAGGAATGCTGGACAAGGATAGAAAGAAAAGATATGGTTGTACCTAAAGGCTATGCGTAAGTCAGAGAAAGACAAATATTATATGGGCTCATTTATGTAGGGAATCTAAATTGAAAAAAAAAACCTCTTAGTAGGTCTACGGGTGTGACTAGAGAGTTTTCTTTTTTATTGAATCTGTGTAAACTAATATAAATTAAATCTTATATCTAAATAAGATAATTAACTTATAATAATCATTTCACAATATATACAAGTCAAATTGTTAACTTAAACCCTGCACAGAGATGATGACAATTATATCTTTTTTAAAGGGGGCGGGGAGTCTGCAATGATAGTACAACAGGTAGAGCACTCGCCTTGCACGTGGTCGACCCGCATTTGATATCCAGCATCCCATATAGTTCCCCAAGCCCACCAGGAGTGATCCCTAAATTCAGAGCCAGGAGTAAGCCTGAGCACTTCCAGGTATGGCCCAAAAGAACAACAAAACAAAAACACAGGGGGATAAAAAAGAAAAAGAAAAAATTACATCGTGGATCCTTTTAATAGTGGTTTGAACTAAAGTAAAAGGTAAAGGTAAAGGTAAAGGCCCTCCCATTGATCGTCGATTTGCTCGAGCGGGCCCAGTAATGTCTCCACTGGAGACTTTGTTGTTACTGTGTTTGGCATATCGAATACTCTCGGTAGCTTGCCGGGCTCTCCGAGAGGGGCGGAGGAATCGAACTCGGGTCGGCCATGTTGGCCGCTTGTAAGGCGAACGCCCTACCTGCTGTGCTATTAAATATATAAACATTAAAATAAAGAGAAGAAAGTCAAACAAAGAGCTTGGGGGTGAGAGTTGAACAGTTCTGAAGGCCGAAGAGTTTCTGTGTTCTGAAGTGACTGTGAACTGAATGGTAATTGTGACATTAGTACCCAAGGATCTTAATGATCCAGAGCAGACTTGGGGAAAATCCCCTCCTACTCTATCAGTTAAGGATCATTCTTTTTAACTTATTTATTATTTGGGGTGGGCTGGAGCGATAGCACAGCGGTAGGGTGTTTCGTTTGCACGCAGCCAACATGGCCGACCCGAGTTCGATTCCTCCGCCCCTCTCGGAGAGCCCGGCAAGCTACCGAGAGTATCTCGCCCGCACGGTAGAGCCTGGCAAGCTCCCCGAGACGTATTCGATATGCCAAACACAGTAACAAATCTCACGATGGAGACGTTACTGGGCCCACTGGAGAATTATTTGGGGAGGCTAGTTACCCTGAAGGAAAATAGCCCTGGTCACTTCATTGAAAAGATGTTGATTATGTGCACAATACTTGTTGAATGCAGAGGGGAAAGGGGAAGTAAAGATGGATTCTGTGCTTGGGTAAATAAATAAAACTGTCTGGAGATAAGAGAAACACAAGGAAATAAATAGTTACATGGTCCCATCCAAAAAAAGTCATACTATGTGTCAGTAAAAAAAAACATAGAGGGGCCAAGGAGTTGGTATAGCAAATAAGGCACTTGTCTTGTACCCTGTTGACCCAGATTTGATTCCCAATACAGCATATGGTCCCTGAGCACCTCCAAGAGTGACTCCTGAATGCAGAACTCAGAGTAAACCCTAAGTACCACCAGATGTGACCCCAAATCAAGAAAACAATGACAAAATGGATGATCCTACCAGCATTGTTATTATTGATCTATGTACCTTTCTCATAGGAACAAAAGCACCGGATACTTCTGAATGCTTATGAGCAGCAAAGTATTGTTATTTTAGGACCAAGGAGATGCCCACATGCTCAAAGGGTAGGAATGCATGTGGGAATCCTGGGTCTAATCCCCAGCACAGCATGAACCCTTTTATGTGTGGCCTCTGAGCACTGCTGGGTGTAGCCTTTTTTTTGTTTTTTAAGTCAGTTGAATAATATTTTTAAAATAGGGTTGCTATTATTACACATCAGGGTGTATGTATGCATGCATCTCTAAGTCATAAACCTGAATGATCACATGCCCATACCTATCACACCCACAGTCATGATTTCGGTCTGCCAGGGCACCACATAAACACCCATCTGCATTCCATCATGACACACCCATCAGCTTAGCATGGTATGGCTCTCACCCACCTACAAATTCGTGTCTTCCTCTCTGACCGCAGCCTCCTTATCAGTCACCTCTCCCACTGCCCCCCACCCCCAGCCAAACTGCCATACAGCCACATCAGAACTCACCCTCCCCTCCCCTCCTCATGGAAATGCATCTAAACTCTCTTGACCTCATACTGGCAGACCCAGGACGGTTCCATGTACTCCTCCTCCAGCCCTGATTGTCATGATCCCAGACCTTCTTTGCATGAAAACCCTCAATTAGGGATCACTCCCACTTTTACAACTTCCTGCTGAGCTTCTGCTCTAGGGTCAGAGAACTGAGCTCGAGGAAGATGAAGAACCACAGAAAGCTCACCTAGCATGATTCTGTAGGTTTACACTAATAGGTCATTATGATTACCACAACAGGGCTCTAAGGTTGTCAAAACACCCCACTCCTATTAGCCCTCTGCTAGAAACCCCTGCAGAGGCAGGGTTGCACATTCTCTCTCCTTGCTTTCTTCTCTGCCAACCTCACACACTCTCCAGCAGGGTTCTCAGTTTCTTCTCTTAGAAGATTGTGTTTGTGTGGGCTAGAATTAACCAGTCTATTCTTTCTTTTCTGAATTTCATTTTTCTCTCCAGTCTAAGATTCTTTCTTCAGCAAGCCATTCCCCACTCATACCAGTTGTCATCCTTTCCTATATACTTCTGCTTTTCTCAGAGGAGTCCAATGACAAATGTCAACAAGTCACCTCCCCTCCCACCAGTCTCACTGTACTTTTAAGTTCTACCTACACTTCCCTTGGTCTCTCTGTAAACTGGAATGAAGAGATAGCAGAGGATGTAAGGAACCTGCTACAAGTGCAGCTGTTTTAGCTGTGATCTTAGTTCAATCCTTGACACTGCATATGGTCCTCTAAAAAGCGTGGGAGACTCACCTGAACAAAGAGCCAAGAGTAGCCTCTGAGCACCAGGGGGTGTGGTTTAGACCCTCCTCCACCCAAACAAAAAATAAGAAAAGAAAATCATCTTGTCAGATTTCTCAAAATATGGCCTCTCCGGGGCTTAGGGTTGTGGCCCCTGGGTGAAGAACCTGTCTTGCAAGATTGAGGCCTGCATTTCATCCCCATCTCTGCCGCACAATGCTGAGTGTTGCCAGGCACAACCCCCAGACATCATGCTTTCTTTGAATGACCTGTTCGTGTTACCACTGTCATCTTTTTATGCATTCATTCCTAAGTTAGTCAGAAAGCAAATGTTTCTGCAGAATATCTACAGACAGAGGAAGTTGAGTAGACCATGGCTCAAATCTTCAGATTCCAGAGAACTAAATTCTCCTAGCTCTGTTCTCTTCAGCCATAATAAAAATGTGGTAATCTCTGTGGTCAGTGTATTTTACTAGTAACCTCTCTGTAACATCCTTCCCCTGGCTGGACCCCAAGCAAGAAATCCCCATTGTTTCTTCACTTTGACTACCATAATGCATGGCAGGCTGGGAAAGGCGGAAACCAAAGTGTTCTGCTCAGTTCTGTCTGTCTAATCACCAGGCATTAAAATACCACTCCCAGCTGGCCTCCCTCCCCCTTCCCCCGACTACTCTCCTAAAGAAATATTTAAACACTGCAGCAGTCTTCAGACTGGTTTCTTTCATTTCTGCCACTCTCCCCTCTCCTCAGCTTCAAATCTCACAGCCGTAGTTTGCTGCACTAAACATTAGAACAATACAGTTTTGTGTTATGAAAAAGGGAAAGTAAGCCCACAGGTTGTTGCTACAACCTAACATCACATGATCTGACATGTCTGGAGGCACTTATAGAAGCACAGGAGTAACCCCTTTGCATTGCCGGGTGTGACCCAAAAAGAAGCAGACCTGGGCATTTGGAAACAAACCTCTCATGGATAAGTCTGGGCTGGTGGACCATAGAGAAAACAAATAAAAAGACTACAGATTTGAATCTGTGTTTAAGACATACAGAAATCCAAACTTTGACTACATGTTTGGAGGAATAAAAATACTGGAAATCAGAAAGAATATCAATTATTATAACAGATAATTATAATACGCTATCAACCAGGGGATTACTAATTCTGAAGAACTATAATTAATAATTTTTCAGCCTTAGGTAGTTATTCTACTCATATCCTCAAGTTCCTCATTTGTAAAATGAAGTTTAAATAAACAACTTGAGGGGAGGGCTAGAGATGTGACTCATTGGCAAAATATATGCCTTGCATATATAAGATTTGGGTTTGATCCCAGTAATGCAAAACAAATAAATAAATAGATAACTTCAACTTTAGTGTAAACATTAGCCCTCTCTAAATCAGTGCCTGACTTGACTAATAACTGTCATTGGCTGTAGAAGAGCTGGTCAAGGAAAGCAAAGGCCAAGAAATTCTTTTCTTACCTAACCTGTTTCTCTACCCTTTTCTACTTTTTTCCCTCTCTCTCTTTCTCCTATACCCTATTTCTTTCCGTTTCTGTGTTTGTTTGCTGTTTGGGTTTTTGTTTTTGCTGTTTTTGCTGCTGGTCTTACTCTTGTCTTTTTCACTGTGGGTCTTCATTTTTCATCTCAAGAATGCATTCTTCACACATATTCTGTAGCTCAGAAGGGAAATGACGGTAGACCGAGCGTGTTTGGCCCAGGAAGCAGTTTGATAACTCAAAGGTGCAGTTGTCTACATTTCTGAAAATAGTTCTGATACCCAAACTGGAGAACCAAGAGAAAAGGATAGAAAGGTTTGTCCACTGCTGGGAAGGTTTGAGTGGCCGCTGGAAAACCCAGCAGGCAGAGTAATTGAAGCAGGTGCACACACACCAAAAAGCACTTCCATGCAAGGCAGGGTGGTACCTCCCCAATAATTAAGGTCTATGAAACACAAGTTTATTTCCCTTTCCCCCCTAAATGATAGGGAACAGATTGTGGGAGAAGGGAAGGGAACAAACCCCAAAGCACAAAGAGAGCAGAAGAAAGGCAAATACCGTTTCAGAAACATGGACACAGTATTGGAAGATGGAAAACATATAACGGGGGCTGACGGGACAGCATTCTCCACGGGAATGAGCCTGAGCTGGAAGCAAGCGGGCTCACGCCGCAGAACTTAAGCGGGCTAGAGCACTCAGAACACTAGAAACTTCTGAAGACGAGAGTGAGACACAGGGTTTAGAAGAGGAGGGCTGATGGAAGGTCTGAAAGAGAGCAGTTACACTTCCCCCAGAACTTCTCTTCTCACTCTCCTCTGCCCTGGAAAACAAGCTGCTGCTCATTCTTTGCCCTGACAGAGGTACAGCGGTGATTCTGAGCAAAAACTGATGAATCAGAGAGACTGTATCGGATCGAGCTGAAGGCAGGAAAGAACTACCTACACCGAAGCATTCTAGAGAAATGTGCGTGTGGAAGGGTCTGTGAGAAGGACCAGAGGCTGGTGTGCAAGCGCTGTGCACGGGAACTCTATGTACCAGGGTTTGATCCCCGGCCCTGGACACTCAGGCACCTGCAGGAGTGTCCTCCCACTCCCCAACAAAATCAATGATAGCACAGCGGGTAGGGCGTTTACCTTGCACGCGGCCAACGCGGGTTCGATTCCCAGCATCCCATATGGTCCCCTGAGCACCGCCAGGAGTAACTCCTGAGTGCAGAGCCAGGAGTAACCCCTGTGCATCGCCAGGTGTGACCTCCTGTCCCAAAAAAAGCAAAAAACAAAAACAAAACCCAAATCAATGAAATTTGCATATTGTATGTGAGACTCTTTCCTTCCTCGCTCTTTGGTCTAGACTGCGGGCTTTTCAGTGTATATTATCCCCAGCACCGCGCAGGGACCCCCAATACTGTAAATAATTCATAGCTCTCATTAGCATCTGTGAGTATGTTTAGGAATTTGAAGCTCCAGGTTTACAAGTCACATAAATGTAGCCCAACATAACTTTAATCATTTGCTGGCTCTTTTTTTTCTTTCTAAGGTTAAATCACAGCTGGAAGAAAAAACAAATGAGACTTATGAAGAATTTAAAGCTGTAGAATACAAAACTCAAGTGGTTGCTGGAGTTAATTACTACATTAAGGTTAGAATTCAATTTTCACTTTGTTACAAAAAGATACGTATTTCTCACTTTGTGTGATGTTCCCTGTCACCCCACCATATAATTTGATCTAAATCAAGATCTTACCTTGTGTGAGATTCCCCAACTTTCAAAGTTAGCAGCTGGGGTTATATTTAGAACTCCTTTTTTCCTGTGAATTTAGAAAGTTCTCTTATATTGATTCTTAAATTGATTCCCAGTAATTGTCAGAAAGACTTTTGTGAAAGTTTATTAATTTTGTTGTCATGTCATGGTTTCTTTACGTGTGAAGCAGAAAGATAATATCTCAGTCAGTTAAAGGCCAGGGCTGGCCAAGATGCTATCTTAAAAAGCTTATTCTCCCTCGAAACCTGTGATTCTGTGTGCCCAAATTAAATGGATCTAATGAATGACTCCAGTCATTAGCTGGGAAAATAATTTTAGCCATCTTTACCTTTTAAAGAATAATTTTAATCCATTTAATTTAAATAATAATTTTTGGGACTCAAGTAGGTTTTACCTTGTGGCACTGTCACTGCAGTTTAAAAAGTGGAACTTTAAAAATTTTTAAGATGAGTTTTATGTCTATCTCAAAAATCAAATGATGTACTGACCCAGTTCTGAATTGAAGAAAATATTTGTGAACTTTATTAAGAAGGAACCAATTCCAAAAGTCACCTGAGGATATTTGTGGGTTTTGTTGCTTTTGTTTGGGGGGCCACACCCAATGGTGCTCAGGGATGACTCCTGGCTCAGTGCTCAGGGATCACTCCTGGGGCTCAGTAGATCCTATGGGATGCAGAGGATCAAACCCAGTTTCACTGCGTGCAAGGCAAGTACCTTACCCACTGTACTATCACACCAGCGCCCTCAGCTGGGGGTACTTGGGAACCACTTTTATTCTTTTATAGTAAAAAGAAATCATTATTTGTTAAATAATAAACTTTACTCCGAAAGCAGAACCTTTGTTTCTTCATCTCTCAGCTCGCTTTCTTCACAGCTGGCAAAGAATGGTTTTTAGTTAAAGTGATTTTGCTCAAAGATAAGAAACATTTCATCAAAGTTGACATCTTATTTTCATAATTTCTGATCAATTAACATACATTTCACATCTTAACAAACTCATGTGTTTTATTTCTCTCTCCCCTTTCCCTCCCCTTCCTCCCCTTTCCTCATCCTTTCTCCAGCTATCAAACTTCACCTGCTGGACTACAGAAGTTCACCCCAGCTTTATGCTTAACTTTCTGGCTACCTAGCTTCATTTTCTGCTCTGAGCCACTGACTGGATTGAAGGTTCAGCTGTAACTTTCTCTCTTTTTTCTCACGTGACAGAAAAGTAAATGGAATGGCAATATTGCAGACTTTGGTGTAAGATAGTTTAAGTCTGAACTCTTGTCTGACTTGTTCTACTGGTCAAAACTTGTGTCATTGTGTCTCCTCATCTTCTCAATACAAGTTCCCTTTACTGTTTAATGCAAGTAATAGCAAACTACTTGCAGGTGCTGTGTGGAACAAAGGAAAGCATTTACAATGTTAGGCACGTTCTGAGAGCTAAACATGAATTATCAAATTTAATTCTTTCAACAATTCTATAAAAAAAAACCTATGATTTTACTTCCCTTATGTTATTCATGAGAAAACTAAATCGGGGAGCTCAAGTAACAACACCCTCACCCACAAAAGATGAAGTTTATAGCCGTTAGTAGGGAAAAATAACTCCCCCTAAAAAAAATCAGAAATCAGCCATCTATATCTCAGCTACCCAGAGATTATCAACCAAGAACAAAAGTTGAAAGTCTTACCCTCAGTTTCTAGGTCCTGGATTCATTCATTAACAACTATGATTTTTTTAGTCTTCATATCAGTGAGTTTCCAGAAAACCTCTTTACTCTAAAAGGGAGCTAGGTTATTTGCACACTAAGCCTGCTACCAGTGGGAACTTATAGTTTCTAAAATAGGTTATAGGAGCCACAAATCCTAAAATTTCTCTAACAATTCTGATTTTTTCCCTCCCTTCTTAAATTTAGTGGCATTCAACTTGGAGAGTCAAAAGACAGAACTACCAAAAAGACTGTCATTGCTTGGCTAGAGAGAGAGCACAGGGGTTAAAGCACTTGTGTTACATGCCTCCAACCCACATTTGATCCTCTACACAGCCCAGAGTGATCCTGAGCAGAGCAAGCCCCAAGCTCTGCCAGGTATACCTCAGTGCTACCCTGACTCCTCAGAAAGACTGGTTTGGGTTTTTTGTTCTGTGTGTCTTTGAAAATTAAATACAATCTTGACCTTCACATTATAATAAAATATAAAAATAAAAAATATGCTACCTATATGCTGCCTTTAGCCTGGTGATCTTTCATAAATCAAGGCAGGTTTTTAAAATTGATGCATTAGTTAATCAGTAAATCAAAGTTGGGCTCAGAATGCTGTTCAGAAAACCTATTGCACTAAAGCCTCTCTAAATCTGTAACTCCTTTGCTTCATGTGGATCCTTATAAATGAATCTTTCTTTAACTTTCAGATTCAAGTCAGTGAAGATGTTTATATTCACATCAAAGTATTCAAAAGTCTTCCTCAAGAAAATCAGACTTTGAAACTCACTGGTTACCAGACTGACAAGAGCAAGGATGATGAGATAACAGGTTTTTAGTGGCATGTTTTAAATATGGTCTGATTCCTTCTGCAGACCCCTGCTAATACATAATAAAGGAACATTGTTTTTAAATAAATTCAGTTCTTCAACTATTTTCTCATCTATTGTATTAAATAGTAATTACCCTTTCTTATTCAAAAATCAGTGCTATTGCTTTAGATACCCTATACAAATTGAAGTCAACTGGAAATCTTAGAAAAATTGGTCAGTTGTAATGCAGCTGAGTAAAACCACTACACTGACACCAGGCAGGCTAGATTGTGGGCCATGCATGCTCTGTGCTAAAAATTCAGCACATCCTCTCAATCCTCAGAGGGTAAAATTAAAGATCAAACCAGAGGCTCCTGCCCCCAAAGTATGTCCTCCAGTCCTTTGGGAAATCTTTCTGACACAGATATTTGTTTTACTGTTGTTGAATTTAGCAAGTGCTTGTATATTTAATCACACATACCTGTCAGATTGTATGACATTTCCCTCAAAAAAGTAGATGTGACTATTGTGTGAAACTTGTTTTTAAAAATTGTGCCAATATTACTTTAAAAGCCGAGTACAAGTACTTTGTGAAGGAATATAGTATGTATTCTTTCTAGGAATTTGTTTCATTTATATTATGTAATTTGTTGGCATACAACTATTATTATTATTATTCCTTCCTCATTAATTTTACAGGCAATGGATATTGGACTGAATTGTTTAGGAAAGGTCAGGGAGTAGAGAGAAAGGAGAATGAAGGGAGGCACAGCAGAGAGAAAAGAAAACTTTTTTAAGGATGCATGAAACAATCCTGCCCTCTGGCTACTGTACTCTGCTCACCTCTCCACTTGTGCCATCTGCTTATTTCCCATTCCAAAAATGTCTTAGTAAGTGCTTATTATATTCCAAAGAGTGTTCTAAAAGCATTACACATATAACTCATTTAATTCTTATAACAACTCCATGAGTTACTATCCTCTCTTTAGAGAAGGTTGAGTGTAGATAAAGTTACTTACCAAAAGCCTCATGGCTGGTTAGTAGAACGAGTAGAATCCCAGGCTCTAGGACCAATGCTCTTAACCCCTGTGCTCTAAATACCTCTAAATACCTTTAGAGGAAAAAGCGACCTTTGTATCCAGATATCATGATACTGTAATTAATGAAAAATCAGTTAAAAAGTGAAAATCTGAAGCTGACCCCACATATGGTCTCTCAAGCATCACCAAAAGTTATCACTGAGCACTGAGCACAGAGCCAAGAATAGCTCCTGAGCAACTCAAACTCCCAAAAGTGAAAATATGGAATAGTTAAAAAATAATCTTAACTGAGATGTTTTAAAACATGGCTTATTTAAGAAGTGATACTTAAGCCATTATTACACCTAATAGTCAAGAATTGTTGGCATCCTTAAAAAAAAGGAAGGAGGGAGGGAAGAAGGAAGGAAGGAAGGAAGGAAGGAAGGAAGGAAGGAAAACAGACCACAACTGTATAAACATCATTAGTGGCAAGAGTGTTCAAAGATTCATTGACTCTTCCGAGCTCTTTAAAGGAGGTTTTTTGTTGTTGTTGTTGTTTGTTTTTTTATTGTAATAACATGATTTACAAAGACACTCATAAGACAGTTGTTTCAAGCATTTAATGTTCCAATACCAATACCATCGTTAGTGTGACCTTCCCTCTACCAGTGTCCCTAGTTTTCCACACACCATCCAAGACTGCCCCCTTAGCAGACACAAAATAATTAGCAGACACAAAATAATTTACTTCATATTGCTTGTTACAATAAAAAGGCAAATGAAATTGTCAAGGGATAGATCAAGAAAAGTCAATTTGTGAGAATTGTTATATTTCACAGTGGTGTTATTAAAGTCATTTTCTAAGGCTTGGTGCTAGTTGAGCTGTCCGTCTTATTTTTTTGCTCATTGAGTTTGATGGTCTTTACGCAACTTTGCCATCAAATTTGCTGGGCTCTTACTGTACTGTGAAATTTGCAGGTGTCCAGGGTACTGTAGAGCTGGAACAACTTGATGAGACTTAGAGACTTGATGAGGTTCAGTGTGGAGCTGAGCCATTTCTATGTTGGAGGGTGTTGAGTATGGGCGGTGGCTGCTGGAACTTCTCAAACAAGACCTGTCTGGAGTTAAGGTGCTTACCTTACATGCAGCTGACCCTCTTTGATTCCTGACATTGAGTATGATCCTCTGAGCACCACCAGGGGTCACTCCTGAGCACAGACCCAGGAATAGCCCCTTCTCACCTCTGAAGGTGACCTCTTCACCCCTCCAGCTCCTCCTTTCCTCCACACCCCCCACTCGCAAAAAAAAAGAAAAGAGAAAAGAAAAGAAAAGAAAAGAAAAGAAAAGAAAAGAAAAGGATCTGTAATCCATAGTATCTTTGCAGCCTAAGGGAAAATTACCTTTTGCTTGTTTGTGTGGGGGTCACCCATAGCAATGTTCAGTGCTTACTCTTGGCTCTGCTCTCAGGCATCACTCTTCATGGGCTCAGGTGACCATATGTGGGCTGAGGATCTAACCCAGATCAGCCACATGAAAGGCAAGTGCCTAAAAGAAAGAAAGAAAGAAAGAAAGAAAGAAAGAAAGAAAGAAAGAAAGAGAGAGAAAGAAGGAAGGAAGGAAGGAAGGAAGGAAGGCAGGCAGGCAGGCAAATGCCCTATCCACTGTACTGTGGCTCTGACCCAAGAGAACAACATTTCTGAAACTTCTTCCCCATCAAATTTAAAGTGGAATCTGAAAGCAAAAACCTGTATTCTACTGTGGTCATTATTTTGTCCAAATCAAAAATAAAGATGGAGAAATAAAGTCTTTGATTGCAAGGATGAGGAACTCCACTCCAGTTCTGTCAGCCATGCCAAGAACTCTGCCGTAGACCATGGTTTTATGTATTTAAATTTTCAGTTTTATGAAGAAATAATTGGCTTACATCACTGTATAAATTTGGGTTGGATTACATATATTGTGAAATGATTACTTGTCACAGCTGTTTCAAATAACATTCATTGTTTCATATATACAATTTTCAAAAGGTATATAAAAATCAATTTCCCTTTGTGTTGAGAAATCTTAGGATTTGTCTAGTATCAACTTTTCTATATATCTATTTAGCTCTAGCTATTGTGTCTCAAATATTTATTGAAGCCAGAGAGATGATATATAGGTTAAGTTGCTTGTCTTGCACACGGTCAACTTCCCCGGTTCAATTTCATGAATACCACTAGGAATGACCCCTGAGATTAGTAGTAGCCCCTGAGCACTTCCAGGTTTGGCCCCAAACCCCTACCACCTCAAATACTTATCTATCATATAACTAAAATTTTGCACTTTGGGATTTACTTCCTCGAATTCATTCTCCCCTCTGGTGATCACTAGTCAGATCTCTTTTTCTTTCTTTCTTTCTTTCTTTCTTTCTTTCTTTCTTTCTTTCTTTCTTTCTTTCTTTCTTCCTTCCTTCCTTCCTTCCTTCCTTCCTTCCTTCCTTTCTTTCTTTCTTTCTTTCTTTCTTTCTTTCTTTCTTTCTTCTTTTTTTCTTTTTGGGTCACACCTGGCAATGCATAGGGGTTACTCCTGGCTCTGCACTCAGGAATTATCCCTGGCGGTGCTCAGGGGACCATGTGAGATGTTGGGTCAGCCGCATGCAAGACAAATATAAGACAAATGCTCTACCCGCTGTGCCATTGCTCCAGCCCCTGATCTCTTTATCTGTGAGTTTTATTTTTCGATTTTACATGTAAGCAATATCAAACATGGGGTATGGTGCCACCAGCAAGTCAATCTGTACCTGTGAGGCAAGTGCATCAGCAGTCTGATGGCGCCTTCAGACTTCTGGATACCCCAAAATTGCTGCTGTGCCTTTGGCCAGACCCCAACAACTTGGGGCAAAGTTTACCAAGAAAGTAAACGGCCAAAAGTTAGGTATGTGGGAAACACACCCACAAACCACCTCCGGCTCATCTATATAATTGGAGGCATGGCCTCACTGGTTCCTGATTGAACTGCTTAATGGCCATGATCCCAGAGACTCAGAAACAAATCTCGTAACCCAGCGGCTTTTGGCAGAAATGCGTCCGGTCCCTGCAGTAGGTTACTGGTGCTGGGCCACCGCAGGTGGTAATAGGTTTTGTGCCTTGGCCTGTTCCCCGTGGTGGCTCGTAGGCTGCCATCCTCCAGAGGCCACGGCACAGTCAGGTTTGGGCCCGAAGTGACGAGACACGCAGGGCCTCACTGGATGGGGGTGGAGCCGGTCCTGTCCTCCCCACCCCAACAAGACCCCAAGTCATCGCCCACGAACAGCCTCTCTGGCTCCTGATCAAGCTGCTTAACGGCCATGATCCCAGAGATTCAGAACAAATCTCGAAACCCAGTGGCTTTTGGCAGAAATGCGTCCGGACCCCACAGTAGGCTACTGTCGCTGGGCCACCCCAGGGGGGAAAGGGTGTTGTCACTCCACCTGCTCCCCCTTGGTGGCTTGGTGGCCATCATCCTCCGGAGGCCATTGGGCAGTCAGGTCTGAGCCTGCAATGATGAAACTTGTTGGGCCTCACGGGATGGGGGTGGAGTCGGTCCCGTCTTCCCCACCCCAACAAGACCCCAAGTCATCGCCCACGAATGGCCTCTCTGGCTCCTGATCAAGCTGCTTAATGGCCATGATCCCAGAGACTCAGAAACAAATCTCAAAACCCAGCGGCTTTTGGCAGAAATGTGTCCAGACCACGCAGTAGGTTACTGTCACTGGACCACCCCAGGGGGGAAAGAGCGTTGACCCTCTGCCTGCTTCCCCCTATCGGCTCGGTGGCCGTCATCCTCCAGAGCCCATTGGACAGTCAGGTTTGGGCCCACAGTGACGAGACATTTTGGGCCTCACGGGATGGCGGTGGAGCCGGTCCTGTCCTCCCCACCCCAAGGAGACCCTAAGTCATTGCCCATGAACGGCCTTTCTGGCTCCTGACCAAGCTGCTTAACGGCCATGATCCAAGAGACTCAGGAGCAAATCTCGGAACCCAGAAGGTT